GAGGTGGAGGCAGCGGAGCAGAACGTCTCCCGAATCTGCCACAAGATCTTCTTCCCCAATGACACCAGCGAGGTGAGCCCCTGTCCTGGTCTCCCCGGCAAGTGTCAGACCTCTGGAGGCCGTGGGGCACCATCCCTACTGGCCCAGCCTGCTCTTGGTCACCCTTGGAGGGCCTTTTCTAGGGCTGTCCCACCTTCAGCAGTCTCCTGCTCCCTCCCCATGGGACGCAGGCCCTGCCTGCCCTTGGGTGCTTTGGAAGTCAGGCCAGTCTCAAGGCATGAGTTGGGGGATCCAGGCCTAGGACACAGGAGAGAGGACAGAGGGGTGGGCAGCAAGGGCGAGTCCCTGGACTTGGGGGCCCTTAGGGGTTTCTGACCTGCTGGGGCGCAGGGGAGCAGGTGTCCCCACTGGGTGTGCCTTGCGCACAGAGCCTGCCATGGCTGCTGGGGGAACAAAGGGGACAGGGGACAGGTGGGAGGCCACCAGGACCCAGCCGTGACAGAGGCTTTGGCCAGGGGAGCACATACAAGCAGGCTGAGCGGCGGAGGTGGGCAGCGCCGCCTCACACCCTCTCCAACAGCAGGGTGGTCTTTTTGGCCTTGGGGACAGTCGAGTCCCAGTAGCAGGAAGTTCCCACAGTCTGGCTGCTGGGCTCTCAAGGCATGTCAAAAGGCCAGGCCTCCAGGGCTCCAGGACAGCAAAGGCTGGGACTGAACAATGTGAACCTCTGGCCAAGGTTCTGGAAGTGAGACTTGCCCTGCTCAGGGCAGACCACATCCAGCCCAGGTTTTATGAAGGAGCAAAAGTGCCAGGCTAGGAAGGGTCATCCTGGGCTGTGCTGCCCCCTGGCCAGGCCCCATGCCTCACCAGCCACCTCTCTGTCCAGATGCTGGAAGTGGGTGCCAACACGCGGGTGCGGGATGTGTGTGACAGCATTGCCACCAGGCTGCAACTGGCCTCCTGGGAGGGCTGCAGCCTCTTCATCAAGATCACAGACAAGGTGGGCTAGGCCAGGGCTGGGCGGGCAGCGGGCGGGCAGGCAGTGAGCAGGGCCCTAGGTGCTGCCTGGGGGCCCTCAGCCTGCCAGGGGCTCTGGTGTTGGACCAGGACTGTCCCCTGGAAGTCACCCAACTTCCCTGTACCTTCCCCTGCCCCAGGTCATCAGCCAGAAGGAGGGAGACTTCTTCTTTGACTCCTTGAGGCAGGTGTCTGACTGGGTGAAGAAGAACAAGCCACAGAAAGAAGGTGAGGAGGCCTCTGTGGAGCCGGGGGAAGGCGTGGCTCGATGGGGTGAGGGGGTGCTGTCGGCCTCTGTGGGCAGGGCCTCCTGCAGGGCCCATGCCAATTCATCCATCCATTCATTCCCCTGTGTGTCTCTGGGTTGTGGGGACAACCAGGCCCTGGGGCCTGGTGGTGAGGGCCTCCCAGCTCAGGCAGGAGCAGGTAGCTGTCCACTGGGTGCTGAAGGATGCCCGGGGCTGAGGGGCATGAACCCCATGGGGTGCTGGGGGACTCCGGGAATGTTCCTGGAGAAGGCAACCTCTATACTAGTCTTGAAGGCTAGGCTAAGGAAGAGATGGAGACCGGGGAGGAAGAAGGGTGGAGGCTTTCCAGGCAGGGAGGTGGCAGGCACAGTGTGAGGGTGGCAGGGGGTCAGGGCTGGTGGCACCTGCTGGGATAGGCTTGGTGCCCACTGCTGGCCCTCGCCCAGGGGCCCCCGTGACGCTCCCCTACCAGGTGTACTTCATGCGGAAATTGTGGCTCAACGTGGTCCCAGGGAAGGATGTGAACGCAGACACCATACTCCATTACCACCAGGTACCAGGCAGGCTGCCCTGGGGGGCATTGGGGCCACCTCATTCTCCCACACCTCTTCTGAGGCTGTAGAAGCCAGCAGGCCAGGGCAGGGTGAGCCTCAGCCTTACGTACCCATGTGGTAGGCAGAAGAAGCCCCTGAGGCCTCTGGAAGCAGGAGCAGAGGGAAGCAGTGTTTGGGGACAGTGACTGCACTGGCACCTGCAGCAGGACTTGGGGAGGGTGGGGCAGAAGGTCCTGCAGCCCATGGAGCAGTGGCCTTGACCTGCAGGGCCAACCACATGGGTGGGGCAGGCCATCACCCCCACACAGATGTCAGGGGGCCCTGCCCCAACTCAGGTCATACCCCCGGCCTGAAACTCTACCCTGCTCAGTCTGCCCTGGATGGAGTGGTCTAAGCCTCAGGTCCCCACCACCTAAGCAAGAAAGAGTTCGGGCTGGGTGGGCCGCAGCGGGACACCCGGCATGCCCAGTGTGTCCACCACTCAGGAGCTGCCCAAGTACCTGCGTGGGTTCCACAAGTGCTCGCGGGAGGATGCCATCCACCTGGCAGGCCTCATCTACAAGGCCCAGTTCGACAATGACCGGTCCCAGCTGGCTAGTGTCCCCAAGATCCTGAGGGAACTGGTGCCCGAGAACCTCACACGCCTGATGTCCTTGGAGGAGTGGAAAAAGGTCCCTGATGGGGCTGGGAAGGGTCGTTGGGCTGCTGCCCCTCCCAGGGACCCTGTCCCAGTGCCATGCCCTGCCTGGGCTCCAAGCGCACATGGACACATATGGGTGGTGTGGATGGTGGGCTGGCTCCACATATACCACACCGTCCCACGCTGTCCACAGCGCCTCTGAGACTCTGTCCCCATGCTGCATTCCCCCTCTCCCCCCGTACTGGCCCTGGGGTAGGCAGGTGCTGCCCTCACCGAGGCTTTGGGGGCCTCTGGGCACCCAGGCCCTTACTGGCCCTCCCGTTCTCCAGAGCATCCCTTTGGCCTATGACAAGCACAAGGACAAGACCGTGCAGGAGGCCAAGGTGGCCTTCCTGAAGTGGATCTGCCGGTGGCCCACCTTCGGGTCCGCCTTCTTCGAGGTGAAGGTAGGCCTTGCCCCTCGCTCAGGCCTCCTACCCAAGGAGGCCCCCCTCAACACTGCCCCGGCAGGCCCAGCGTCAATCCACGCACATCTTGGTTGGGGCTGGCCGCAAGGCTGGAGTGTGTGGGCATGCATGTATATGCGCGTGGCCCAGGTGAGCTCCTGGGAGGTGCGGCCTGGCCTCCCGGGCTGGAGTGTGACCACCATGTCCCTCCCTCTCAGCAAACCTCGGAGCCCTCCTACCCCGACATCATCCTCATCGCCATCAACCGACGTGGGGTTCTGCTCATCCACCCCAAGACCAAGGTAGCTGCTGGGCCTCCAGAGGGGGTGGGGGCCACCTGGTCCAGGGACCCATGCAGGTGGGGCTGTGGTCACCTCTGTGGTGTGTCCTGCCTCTCTCCTGTCCCCTAACACACGCACAGCCCACGGGCTCTGGAGGCGCCCTGCCCACCCACACTTTGTGCCCCCAGGAGCTACTCACCACCTATCCCTTCACCAAGATCTCCAGCTGGAGCAGCGGCAGCACCTACTTCCACATGGCGCTGGGGAGCCTGGGCCGTGGCAGCCGCCTGCTGTGCGAGACCTCCCTGGTGAGCCCAGGTCCCTTCTCCCAGCCAAGATGCACGGGACAGAGCTGCTGGGGACTGGCTTCCCCGCCCCACCCTTTTCAAGTGGCTCACTAAGAGGGCTTGGTCCCAGGGCCCAGCCAGGGCCAGGAGACCTGGAAGGGGACTGGGTGCATCCCCAGGACCAGCAGCCAAAGTGGCAAGACCAGGCAGGACCCCCTACACCTTTGGCCCATTCCGAGGAGAGAGGGAGACCCAGCCCCAGCAGGGCAGGCAGGAATGGCGGCCCCAACACCTGTCCTGGGAGGGAAGGGCAGGAGCCCGCCTTCCCTCTCTCCTTGCCCTGCACAGCTGGCTGCTGAGGAAGAGAAGGTGGTCCCTGAGGCAAAGACCCCCACCTACCCTCTGCACCCACAGCCTCTGACCCACTCTGTCCCCTGTCCAGGGCTACAAGATGGACGACCTGCTGACTTCTTATGTGCAGCAGCTCCTGAGTGCCATGGACAAGCAGAGGGGCTCCAAGGCCCCAGCCCTGGCCAGCACCTAGCGGCGGATGCTGGCGTGTCCGCTCAGGCGCCTTCCTGATCTCTAGCCTGGCAGCACCTTCCCAGGCCCCCTCAGCCCAGGGCCTGTCCTCGGCAGGCAGCCTTCCATGCCGCCCCCCCACACAAAGCCCACTCAGCCCCCCAGACAGCCCCCTCTGTCTCAAACACCACTCATGGAGGCCAAAAGACCAGCTCAGAGTGGGGTCGGGAGTCTTGGACCCCCAGGCTGTTGGTGGATGGCTGAGAGGTCCCCCCTACCCCACCAGAATGTTTAATAAAAACCCCTGGAGAGAGGAAGTGAGCCTGTCTGAGCAAGCAATGTGGGGCACCAGGTGGACAGGGGGCCCTGGAGGCGCTGGCCCTCAGAGAGCCGCAGAAAAAGCAAAATGCTGTGTGGCTTCCCCAGGGTACCCGGAGGGGAGCTGCATTCTCCAGGAATGACCTCATCCTTCCCTCATTCTGTTTCCTTCCTCCCTTCCTCCCCCTCCCTCCCTTCCTTCTTGTTCCTCAGACTGGGGAGGGGCACATATGGGAGAGTCCTCCTCCCAGGCCCCTCCTCACACCTTCTGTCCTTCCCCCAGGCACTGAGACAGCCGCACTCCCCAAGGACACCCGGGCAGAGGTGCCACTCTCTGGCTGCCGCTTCATGCTAAGGCCAGCCTATGCCCCGACAGTGGGCAGAGCTGGGCACCACCTCTGAGGCCTGGACTCCGCCACCTCGCTGGCATGTCCTGTCCCTGCCCACTCCCTGCTGTGCCCATTGGGCCAGCTTATGTGGACCCGGCCACCCAGGACTGTGGGGTCCTGGCTAGGCTAGTCTTCAAGCTTTGCTGGCAGCCTGGCCTGGGATGGAGGCTAGGACCCCCTGAACTCGTGCCTGCCTGTCTGATGTCTGTCCCTCTGTTCAACGACCCCACTAGTGGTATGTCCAGAGCCGCTGCCACCCCATCCACCTCCCACCCCTGCCGCGAACCACGCAGGCTGCTGCGGTTGTGTGAACAAGCCTTCATTGTGCAAGCGTGAGCCCTGCGCCAGGTCTGCACTGGCCGCAGACGAAGCGTCCTCCCTGGAGGTGGGAACGAGCCGCCTCTGACCCCCCCCCACCTCCTGGACCCTGGCCCCACTCAAAGGCTGAACACAGGTCCCGAGGTGGGGGAGGGGGAACCCAGGTGGGTGGCCAAGGTGGGATTCCAGGAAGGCCTTCTGAGGGATGGAGGTGGGTCCTCTCCCTCCAGGTAGCTTGTGGGTGTGGACAGAGGACTTGGTGGCTCGGTGTGGGCACAGGGACACTGTGCCACTGGTTGAGCGAGTGGTGAGGGATAAGGATGGCTCCCAGAGGCCTCCATCTGCGTGGCCCTGGCCCTGTGGCTCCCACAGGCTGCCCTGGCCGTGGGTAGCCCAGGAGCCACATGTACTTAGCGGGGCTGCTCTGGGGCAGAGGCTCACACAGGATGGCATGCGCTACCAAGCCACCTGGGCAGGGCCAGGCCGGGCCAGGTCAGGAGCTGTGATGCAGTTTGCTCCTGTCCCTGGAGGTCTGTGGGCAGAAGCTGTAGGCACAGGCGGATGTGGCTGTCGGACGTGGCTGTCACACGTGGCCCAGCCCGTCACAGGCTCCCACTCCCCGGCTCCTGCCTTCCTCACAGAGAGAAGCCACAGCCAAGGAGAGGCGAGACCTGGGGACGGCAGAGCTGAGAACAGGAAGGGAGGCGGCGAAGGGGAAAGAAAAGGGGAGGGCCGCAGGCGGACGGGGACGAGGGGCCACGCGTGGGCAGCAGGAGGCGAGAAGGCGGAAGGGCCGAGGCGCAGCCCGGCAGGGGCGCTGGGTCTTCAGGCGGAGCTGAGGTCCGCGGCCTTGGGCTGGGCCTTGCGCGAGGTCAGCTCCGACAGCTTCTTCAGCCGCTTCTTCAGCTCCAGCGGAAACTTCTCGTAGCACCTCTTACACACGGGCTTCATGTCGAACTCCACAAACTTGTTCCTGGGGAGGAAGCCGGCCTGTCAGCAGAGCCCCACCCCCTCCACTTGAACCCCAGACAGGCGACCGTGGAGGCAGAAGAGCGGCCTTTCCCCTGCCACCAGCCTCCCCACAGCCGCTCCCCCAGCCAGCAGGCCAGGCCCTAGGCTGAGCTGGCCGGAGAGCATAGGAATGAGAAGGGCCTTGAGGTTTCCCTTCCCTCCCAGAGGCTTCTCTCAGGTGCTGACACTCCAGAACCGTCTATGGCTCCCCACTGCCCTTGGAAACCTGGACGCCTTCTCTCCTCTCACAGCTCCAGCCATTCCACGCCCCTTGAGGCTTCCTGGATATGCAGCTGACACTGCTGCCTTTGCATATGCTGTTCCCTGGGCGGGAAAGCCCTTCCCTCCCTGGAGCCCAGGGTTCTGGCAGGTGTGTTAGAGGAGCGAGTGTTCCTCCTCCTCTCACTGTGCCCTGGGGTCCCTGGACCCCCCAGGCCCCCTGGACCTGCCCCCATCTCCAGGGTGTTGTGGGGCCGGGCTGCCCCTTGTCCCCACCGTATCCGCAGGTCGGACCCAGCCGGTGTGCCGACGGCTGCTGAGGGGGAGGACCCGCGGGAGCCCCTCCACCCTGAGCCCCACCCCACGATCACAGGCACTCACTTCAGGGTGAGCTTGCTGTTGCAGGTGGAGCAGGAGAAGCAGCTCACACACCAGGCCTTGTTGAGGGCTGACACCACTGCGGGGGAAGCGCGGGACTCAGCAGGCCTGGCCAGGCTGCCCAGCTGGGCTCACAGCTGCAAGACCCAGGCCCCAGAAGAGCAGGTGGGGTGGGGGGAGGGAACACAAGGCCTCACCATCGCCTTCGATCACGTGGCTGCAGTTGTAGCAGACGTCCCCGAAAAGCTGCGGGCCGAGTAGGCTGTCAGAGCGGCTGCCGGCAGTCACACCCCAGCCAGGGCCATCATGCCCCCGGCCTGGCCTTCCAACACAGCCCCTCTCAGGCATCTCCCGGGCCCTGCTGCCAGGCTGGGATGAGGGCCCTGAGGCCTATTAGAGCAACCCCCACCCCTGGGAAGGAAATCAGGCTGGACATTGCTCCCCAGAAGGCGCCTTTACTCTGGCTCCTGCTGCTGTCCAGCGAGGAGGTGAGCCCGGGTGACCTCACCTCATCAGCCTCCTCTGCCTTCTGTCCCAGAGCAAGGGAGGGAAGGGCTTGCGGGCGCTGTCAGCCCCACGTGCCCAGGACCTCACACCCACCCCGGAGAATGCTGGGCTGAGAATGCCGCCCAGGTCTCAAGACCCCAGGCCAGGAGCCAGGGCTGAGGGTGCAGGCCCGGGCCCAGCACCTGGCAGAGCTCCCGAGGGGCCGCCCGCAGCCTCCCTCCTGGCCACCCCTCCAGCCCACGTCCCCGAAGGCTCTGCACCGGCTCACCTGGTTGTAGTGGGTCTCACAGTAGGCCAAGCCCTTCTTCTCGTAGTGCCGGTGCCCCAGGAATGGCTTCTCACACTTGGCGCAGACAAAGTGCTGCGAGGAGAGGGCGGCCGGTAGCATCAGGGCTAGAGCGGTGACCCCGAGGGACAGGCTGTGACCCAGGGGACAACAGTGACCCCAGGAGCCAATGGCGACTCCAGGGGACAGCAGTGACCCCAGGAGACAGCGGTGGCAAAGGGGACAGGAAGCAGAGGCTGGGAGGGTGGAGGCCTTTCGGGATTCACACTGTGGGGGGCTGACACCTCTGTGGATGCTGTGGGCTCAGCAGACCCTGCCCGTCCTCCACAGCACTGACGGTAACCTTGCACGTCACCATCCCCTCCCACTCTGGCCTCCCCCTCAGCAGCCTCAGCCCCAGGAGTCAGGTGCCAGCCCAGTGCTGCAGTATGGTGGACCCTAGAAGGCAGAGGCAGCACTGCCTGTCCATATGGGGACTCCTGCAGGCACCCCCTGCAGGCCTGGGGGGTGAGCAGCACTTGCATTCCCCCAGGGATCTGCATGTGGGGATGAGGGCTGGGGGCTGGGGGCTGGGGACTGGGGCCTGCATCAGGGCAGGATGGCATGGCCTCCCACTCACACTGCCACCCAAGGCACAGCTTCTGGACACAGCGCTGGCCAGGTCACCAGGGAAGGTGATGGGCTCACTGTTCCCAGTGTACCCGTGAGAACATGAGAGTCCACACCCAGCGGGGACACTGCAGGTGACCCAGCGCGCACACCTAAGAACTCTGCAGCTCTGTGTCTGCACAGGGCTGTCCACACAGCAGGTTCTGCCAACCACAGCCCCCCAGGCGCCCCCACGGTTTTTTCCAGACTTTGGAGTCTCTTAGAATGCCAGCATGGGGAAGAGGAGAGGTGGGCACGGCTACCCAACCATGTGTGTGCACGTGTGTCTCCTGGTTCCTGTGGGCAGGCTGGGATCCCTGGCTGAGCACAGGGAGGGGCAGTACACCAGAGGAAGAGCCTCCCCGGGAGCCAGCCACGCACCCTGGGCTGGGAGTATGGAGGGGCTTCAGGGCTCTGACTGTGACCCTGAGCTGGGGCAACCCCTCAACCTGAGGCCATGTGCCCGCCAGCCTGGCTTACCTCCACGTGCCACTGCTTGCCTAGTGCATTGACCACACGGCCCTCGATAGGCCGGCGGCAGGCCCCGCAGATGGGGACGCCCATCTTGTCATGGCAGGGCAGGCAGTAGAGCTCACCCTTCAGCTCTCGGGCCTCGGCCGTCAGCTCCTTCCTGGAAGACAACGTGCAGCCCCCAGGTGCCGTCCCTGACCTTCTGCAGGGTCATGCCAGCACCTCCAGCCTGGGACACGGCTCCCCGAGGGGCCATTCTGTCCCTGCAGACCCGAGGCGGCTGCTCCCTCTGATCTCTAGGCCCTTTGAAGGCTTCCTGTGCCCCAGACGGGCCCTGGAGCACGGACTTCCCGCACAGCCCAGAAGAGTGGCCTGTGTTCTGCACTCAGGCCTGTGAGAAGTGGGTCTGTTCTCGGGCCCCCCTCCTCCTCCAAACCAGCTGGGTGTTTGGGATAGGCACGGAGAGGACTGGAGGGGACGGTGGGGGTAGGCGAAGAGGGGCCGAGGGGCTGCCTGTGCCACTCCTCTCTTAACACCAGCGCCAGGCACACCCCCGGCCTCTTCCCCTCCCCCTCAGGTCCTTTCCGCCGCTCCAGCTCAGCCGTCACGTGCGGTCTAGGGGCGTAGCCCACCTGCCCCCTGGGTCTCAAGTGCCCCACTGCACAGAGCCCTGGAGAGAGAAGCTTCCTGCCTGGCCGCTTCATGGCCCCCGGCCCACCTCCGCCCTGCAGCCCCACTCTCGGAACCCCTCTCTCTGCCCACCCTGCCCACCTCTCCCACCTCAACACTTCCCCGGATGGAGGACCCACCGCTCCTCCCCTGGCTCGGCCCTGGCACCCTGCCCACCCCCACTGCAGGGCAGCACACCTACCCACAGTGGGTGCAGTTGAAGTGGTCGGGGTGGTAGGCGTCGCTCCTGAACATGAGGGGCTGCTCGTCGATGACCAGGTGGCACCGCTGGCAGATGTACTTGCCCAGGCCCTTGGCCTTCTCACGGTTGTGGCAAGGCCGGCAGAGATGCCTGTAGGAGGCAGGGGCATTAGGGGCAGACCCCCCACTCCTATACAGCCCAGCCACCTCCAGAGAAGAGAGCCCGGACCCCTGCAACTCCGCTGAGCAGCTGGGGGCTTCAAAGGGTCATCCAGGGTCCGGAAAAGCATGCTGCCCAGTCACAAGGCCCAGAAGGCCACAGTGCACCCTGGAGATGGGACCTGTGCTCGGGGAGGGGATCAGCAGGAAAGACGCCAGAATGCGAGCCTTCACTGTCACTGGGTGGTATTTTTCCTCTTTCCACTTCTAAGTCTAGGGAATGGTACAGAATAGAGCAGACATTTAATGGATATCTGCTGAAAAAATTGTTTCATTTTCCAAATGTATTTAACACCACGAGTTACAGTGAATGCCACTGTGCCCAGCAGGGTGGCCAGGGAGTACCCGGGAGGTCACTCGCCCCCTTCCTTCAGGGTTTGCTGGATGAAGCAGGGCCCAAACACGTGCAGGCACTTTCTGTGTCCAAAAGACAAGCACCACTATGTCAGATGGAGGCCCCTAACCCAGGAGCTGTCATGACAGAGTCTTTTTGTGAAGGCCTCAGAACAATTTCTGATGCTACTCACTGTGGTGGACAACAGCTGTGTTCTCAGCTGAGAGAGAAATCAACATAGGTTCTGTTTCCTTGGACCTCAAAGGTGGCGGGAATCTAGACTCAGAGTCCCCAGGCAAAGACACACAAAGGCCCCAAGCCAACACCCTGGACCTTGTTCCCACCTGCCCCCCGAATCTAACTCTGGTGCTCCTGCTGCATCCAGACCTCCCTTCCCAGGCCCCCTGGCCCCAGGGGCCCTCTCCACCCCCCACCAGCCTCCACAGCCCTCCAACGCCCAGTGTCCACCCCTCCGACAGGCTAGTCAGGGAGGATACTGAAGAGATCCAATCTCAGACCCCAGATGCCCACCCAGGTTATAGAGGGCAGACCCCAGATGTCAGGGCCACCCATTCAGTGTCCCTCCCTGGACCCCAGGGGCCTGCTAGACTCCACCCTGCACAGCACTGTGCTCCGTCTGCCCTGGGGTGTCTCATCGTCAGCTGTGTGCAGGGCAAGGGGCCCAGGCAAAGGCCCAGCCGCCACTTGCTAAGCTGCTGACTGGCTCTCTGTGCCTCCCCGAGACCCTACGTGCCCAGCATGTGGCAGCAGCTCAGGGTCAGTAGATTGAATGACTGGATGAATGACTGTGAAAGAGAGGAAGGGAGCAATGATGGGCATCATCTCCCTCAACAGGTGGCCAGGGCCCCGGCTCTTACACCCCAGCAGGGGGAAGCACTTGTGGCCTGTGGCTTCAGTCTTCACCACCACAATTCCTGAAGCCCACCCTTGCCCAGACACCTGTGCTCCAGGCACAGCCCTAGGCCACCTCCTCAGCAGGTCTGGGGCTGAGCTTCCCACCTAGCGCCTGTGACAGCCAGCCCACGTTCCCTGCAGCGCCTCTATCCCAGACTCAGCATTTAGGCCGGTGACCCCACTCCATATTCTGGCGATTCGTCCTGAAGGTCAGCACTATACTCAACCCACAAGGAATTACTTCCGTTTCAAAGCTACAGAAATCAGCTCAAAGCCTCAAAACCATCTCCATGGTCAAGGCCCTTGAAGCCACGGACAGCGATCACCCCAATAACAGAAGGTCTGTGAGCCCAGAAATGCCCGCTCAGGGTGGCTAGCTTCAAGCAGCCACCTTTCCAGCCAGTGTGAGCCAATTCTTCCAGACAGCCACCCGCGGGCACAACAGGAAAGGGACCTGCGCCCCGCCTCAGACACCTCACACATGACTGACTCTCAGGCCAGACAAACTGGGAAGCCCATCTCTCTGGAAGGACCAGATGGAAAACAGCTTCTCAACAGACCCCATCGCAGCACCAGATCTAAAGGTGACCTTCAGAATTCTCTTTCAGGTTGAATTAGGATAGAATTGAAGAATTTTAATTCAAAATGCAGCAGAAAAACAAAGCAAAATAAACGTGCACACAAAGACTAAGTCCTGGAGTGACACGTGCTTGGATTCAAATCCTCTGTTGCTTCCTACTGTTTTGCTGATGGGTGAGTTTCTTCACTTGTCTGAGCCTCAGTTTCCTTGTCTGTAAAATGGGGCAATAATCCCAGCTGCAAAGGGTTATGTGAAGAGACAAATGGAAAATAGTTCGTGTGATAGGTAGGCACTCCATAAATGCCAGTGGCATACATAAAGTGTTCAATGTTTTAACAACAAAATATAAAGTCTTTTGAAACCAGAAAGGGTGATTTGGTTTCCCATGTCTCTGGATGTATCATTTTTAGAAAGGGAAAAACTAACTTTGTTCCCTCAGTCTCAGAGGCGGCCACCAGCAGCACTCACAGGCACTCCAGCCCGGAGCCACCCCAGGGAGGAGCCCCAGGGCCAGTGGTCAGATTTGGATTCACAGGGGCTCCCGTGCAGAGGAGGAGCTGCAGCGGCGGGGCCCGGCCTCTGAGCTGAGTCTTGTCCCCACCGGCAGGACAGCGCCCCATTATGAGGCTCCTGCAGCTGTGCCTCGCTCCAGATAAAGGCCATGATTTATTCTGCATGCCCAAATGGGGCCTCATTATACAGGGCAGGACACAAGGACCCTACAGCAAGTGTCCTCAAAGAGTCGCCTCTCACTCAGTGAGCAAGACTCCTCGGCCTCCCACCCTCCGTTCACAGGCTCTCCCCCACACCCCCCCCACTCCTCCCCGCTGTCTGTGGGCACAGGCCTGGGAGCGCGGCCTGTTGCCATGGCAGCCGGCCCCTCCCTGCCCCCATCAGTAGGAAATCATCCCGTTCTGAAACGTCCTGTTGTGTCCGTCAGCTCCAGCCCAAGCCCCCCAACCAGCCCCCGCCTGCTCCGAGGCTCCGAGACAGTCACACACTCAGCCTCTGTGGCCAAGCCGGGGGCGGGGGGCATGGGCTGGGGACACACTGGAATATTCACGCTTCAGTGGCAGCAGCGGCAGCCAGAGGAGCCGCCCGCCACACAAGGGACCCCTCAGGAATGAAGCAGCCTTTCAGGGCCAGAGGGGCTGTGGTCTCCCTTCCTCTCCTTAAATAGCCAGCCTTCCGCCCACAGAGGCACAGAGCCCCCTGCCACCACCGCCACCCACGGGCAGAGATCACCTGCCACCCGCAGAGCCCTGCCCTTCCTCCTGGACCAGCAGCTAGAGGTAAGAGGCAGGCTGGGTGGGACGGGCCGGGAGCACAGGGCTAAGCAGAGGAAACACAGCAGGGAGCCCTGCCCTGGGAGGCAGGCAGCAGCCTGTCACATCCCATCTCTTTGGTAATGGCCTGACCTATGCATGGAAGGCTGACCACAGTCTGAACTCACAGCAGCCCACAAAGCAGTGTTTTACCCCTCTGCCGGCGTTTTGCAGAGGAAAGTGGCTTGCTCGCAGTCCAGGCTGCAATGACAGCACCCCTGCCCCTAACCATTAGGCAGCCTTGGCCCACAGAGAAGCCAGATGCCTGGGAGAGGGCTCAGGCCGGGGATGGAGTGGCACTAATGCAAAAGAAACTGCGGGGCCACCTGCACAGAGGCCTAAGACCTGTCCTAGGTGCTCACCTCACCCACAGCCATGGGACCCAACACTGCCCAGGCGCCCCTTCCCCTTAGGGACACCGCTCGGTGGCCATCTGAGCAGTGAGCCTTGAGGAGCCAGCGAGTCTAGGCTGAAGTTTGTGTCCCCAAAGGGCAATGCAGGGTGAAGCAGGGCCCATCTCAGACCAAACTGCAGAAGTCAGTATCAGAACTGCTCAAAAAGGGCACAAAAAGGGAGGAGAAATCTCAGCAAACGGAGTCTCAGTCCCAGAGAGGGAGGTGCACGCAGCCTTCGGCCTGGGCAGGAAGCTGAGGGCAGTGCCCAGGCGAGGCCCCCAGGCTGGAGGCAGCAGGCGCCAGAAGCCCACCCAGTGCTACAAGACATGTAACCCCTGCAGTCACTCAGGGCCCCGCGCCCAGTCGTGCTCTGCGGTCACTGTCTTGAAACTCTTCCCTTTTGAGCAAGAGGCTGCTTATGCTCATTTCATGCTGGGCCCCTAAAATTAGGGCGTGGTCCCGGGGCCAGGCTCCAGGGAGGAGGTGCTGAGCCTGGGGCATGACTCCAGGACAAGCTCTGAGACCGAGTCACACTCCCTGCCCTGGCCGAGACACCCTGGCAGTCTCCAGAGGCAAGACAGTGCCCTGGGGACCCAGGGCTTCCCTGGTTTCATTTCCAGCTCCAGGGCCAATGTCCCCTGGTCAAGTGACCTAACTTTAGCAGACACTCAGCCTTGATTCCCTAATCTGTAAAATGGGGCCATTAACGCCTATCTCTTCAAACTGGTTTGAGCCAGCACAGGCAGGCCCTGCCATGCCAGGCAGAATGGGTGGTGGCACCAGTGAGCTGCTCTCTTGTGGGGCTGGGTGATGCCTGCACCGTGAGACACAGTACAGGCCCGAGGGACAGTCCGGGGTGGACGGCACTCACCTTGGCCCCTTCCCACCCCCAGGTTCTAACAAGAGCCCCTCACTCACTGGGCCCCTCACCTCTTCCAGTCTCCAGGGCTTCCTCGCTCACACTCTCCTCCTCTCCTGCCAACCTGCAGACAGCACACTGTGTGCCCCTCCCCTCCGCTGCGGGCCGGGCCGTCCTGCCTGCCCTGGAGCCCTGCTCCTCCAGTCTCGGGGTCCTCACCCCCAGCATGTGCAACATGACACCCTCAAAGTCACAGTCCCTGCCCTGCTCCACTGGCACCTGCTCCGTGTCCTCCCCCGCTCCTATGTCCCTCCCTTCTTTTACCTCTCATCCACAGCCCCCTTCAGAGCCCTCAGACCTTCCCCAGGACTCCAGTCAAGCCCGTCTCCCGCTCCCAAGCATCACTCAGCCTGCCTTCTTCATCCCTCAGCTCTCTGCCCCTCACTGTGGTTTTAGCGGTCCCAGGGAAAGTGCCAGCTAAGACCATCCAGCCCAAGTCAGAGGACTGTGGAGCTGGAGTCCTGAGGAATGGGGTCCCCACGAGGAAATCCACATTAGCCTAAGAACAGACGCTGTTCCTGGAAGCAGCAGGAAAGCACCTCTGGTGTTAGAACTTCAGACATCCTGAAACACTCTGAAGCTGGGGGGGCCTAGAGAAATAGCTAAATGGTGGTATTATTAGACAGGTGCCCTCCCCTTTGCTTGAGGACATAGATGGCCAGGTGCTCAGGCCAGCCCTCACCCTCCATGTGAGGACCACAGCAGCTGGCCGCTTGCTCTCCTGAAGCAGGGTTGCGGGCCCTCCCACCCTTCCCTAAAGCCACCTCCATGCCTGCTTCTCCTCCATGTGAGGACGGCTCCAGCCTTCTCCTCCAGGAGCTGCTGTGCCCATGAGCAGTCCGCATGCCCACTCTGCCCTGTGCCACCAGCATCCTGAGGTAGTCCTGTGGAGTCAGTACGAGGACAGGGGCTGGGCGCGATGGTTCATGCCTGTAATCCCAGCATTTTGGGAGGCGAAGGAGCCCAGGAATTTGAGACCAGCCTGGGCATCATGGCAAAACCCCGTCTCTAACAAAAAATACAAAAATTAGCCAGGTGTGGTGGCATGAGCTTATAGTTCCAGCTACTCAGGATGTTCAGGAGGCTGAGGTGGGAGGATCGTTTGAGCCCAGGAGGTTGAGGCTGCAGTGAGCTGATTGTACCACTGCACTCCCACCTGAGTGACAGAGGGACACTCTGCCTCAAAAAAAAAAAAAAAAAAAAAAAAGGAAACTGAGGCTGGGAGAAACATGCAGAGTGAATTTGCTGCCGGCAGGTCCCTGGCACTTGGTGCAGAGCCAGGCTCAGCCAGGATGAGGACCCTGCAGGATACCAGCTTCTCTCCTGCAAACCCCTCTCCAGCCTCTGCTTCAGCCTGGCTATGCAGGGTGGGGACTGTGGGTACTGGGAGGCCGGGCTCTCAGAGGAGCCCCAGAAGCTGTGCCATCATCAGCACCCACCTGGCCAAAGCCCGCTGGAGACCGCGATTCGAAGGCGGACCCAGCCCAGCGTCCTGCCCCTGTTCAGGGCTACAGGTTGCTCTGGCCCCGCCGCCTGCCCTCTCCTGCCCACACCCCCAATCGCAGGCCTGGGTTGGGAAGCAAGGTGTTTGGGACCCTCCCTCTCCTTCTTGAATCTCCTGAGTTGACAAAAATCAAAGCAGGAGTGGGTTTCTGTGTCTGCTGAGGGTGGGGAGCACACTATCCAGACCCAGCATTCACCAGATGGATATGGCTTATTACCCAGGCCTGTCACAGGGCTCTGCACTTGGCCTTCCAAGGTGAGCAAGCCCAGGGGCCTGCAGGCCTCTCTGGGGCTGCAGATCTGACCTGGACAGCCCTGGGCAGTCTCTCTGCCTCGGTAAAACAGGTCTTTCCTCCTGGAAGAGATGCTGCCTCCTGGTGGTGGATCTACTCTGGCACAGGAAATGCTCCCAGCTGGCCTGATGCCCAGGCACAAGCTTCTCCTAACACAGGCCTCCACCTGTCAGGAAGTCCAAACAGAGTTGGTGGGCTGGGAAAGCCCCCAAGAGAGATGCTGAGACTCTCAGGCGGGTAGAAGAGCAGACCTCTGACTTCCCAGGACACTGCCCTTGCTGCCATCCTGGGGGCACCCTCCTGAGTCAAGTGCTAGGGGAACCGTGGTCAGGCACCAGCAAGGGAAGCAAAAAGTGGTGACACCCTGGCCACTGCACTTGTGAGCAGGTGGGTCAGAAAGGGTCCAGGCACTCAGGCTGAGTGGAACTCGCCTGCCAAGGCTAGGATTGAGGAGAAGCTGGAGTCACACAGACGCACTGCCCCCGCCCCTACCACCCCTGCCCCTCAGACAGCACACCTCAGGGGCAGAACAGAACACCCAGAGCCTCACCCAGGTGGGGCCCATGTCCCGTTCCCTGCCACAGCGCCCACCCAGCCTCCCAGCTCGGAGGAGCCCCGGATCTCCTGGGTGGCAGGGGTGCAGCTGTGCAGCAAGGAAATGCCAAGCCCTGGTTCTGTATTTGCCTTGTGCTGAAGTTCAGAATGCCTTTGACGCTCACGCACCCCAAATGGACAAGGAGGTCCCCTCAGCAGCCCCGTGGGCAGTGCTGAGCTTGGAAGTGGGAGGTTCTGAAGGCATCAGAGGCCTGGTTTCTGGAATTGGAGAGCGTGAAGCTACGCGGCTCGCAGGCTCATTGTGAACTGTTTGCTTGTTCCCTCCAGGCTCATACCCGGCTCTGTTTCCACCCAAAGCATGAATGGCCTTGAAGTGGCCCCCCCAGGTCTGATCACCAACTCCTCCCTGGCCACAGCAGAGCAATGTGGCCAGGAGACGCCACTGGAGAACATGCTGTTCGCCTCCTTCTACCTCCTGGATTTTATTCTGGCTTTCGTTGGCAATGCCCTGGCTCTGTGGCTTTTCATCCGAGACCACAAGTCAGGGACCCCGGCCAACGTGTTCCTGATGCATCTGGCGGTGGCCGACTTGTCGTGCGTGCTGGTCCTGCCCACCCGCCTGGTCTACCACTTCTCTGGGAACCACTGGCCGTTTGGGGAAATCCCATGCCGCCTCACCGGCTTCCTCTTCTACCTCAACATGTATGCCAGCATCTACTTCCTCACCTGCATCAGCGCTGACCGCTTCCTGGCCATCGTGCACCCAGTCAAATCCCTCAAGCTCCGCAGGCCCCTCTACGCGCACCTGGCCTGTGCCTTCCTGTGGGTGGTGGTGGCCGTGGCCATGGCCCCGCTGCTGGTGAGCCCGCAGACCATGCAGACCAACCACACGGTGGTCTGCCTGCAGCTGTACCGGGAGAAGGCCTCCCACCACGCCCTGGTGTCCCTGGCCGTGGCCTTCACCTTCCCATTCATCACCACGGTCACCTGCTACCTGCTGATCATCCGCAGCCTGCGGCAGGGCCCACGCGTGGAGAAGCGCCTCAAGAGCAAGGCGGTGCGCATGATCGCCATGGTGCTGGCCATCTTCCTGGTCTGCTTTGTGCCCTACCACGTCAACCGCTCTGTCTACGTGCTGCACTACCGCGGCCGAGGGACCTCCTGCGCCGCCCAGCGCGTCCTGGCCCTGGGAAACCGCATCACCTCCTGCCTCACCAGCCTCAACGGGGCGCTCGACCCCGTCATGTATTTCTTCGTGGCTGAGAAGTTCCGCCATGCCCTGTGCAACTTAGTCTGTGGCAAAAGGCTCACGGGCCCGCCCCCCAGCTTTGAAGGGAAAACCAACGAGAGCTCGCTGAGTGCCAGGTCAGAGCTGTGAGCGGGGGCGCCGTCCAGGCCAAGCGCCGACTGTTTAGGACTCAGCAGACTCAGCAAGAGGCACCTGCCCTTTCCCCAACACCTCCCCAGCACGAGGCCCGAAATCTCAGCAGGTGCCCACCGTTTCCCTCGATCTCCTAGTCTCAACCCCTAAAAAGGGAGAACTGATGAAGGGGATCAGCAGCCCGGCCCTCTGCAGGGGCTTGGGATGCTTTCAGTGGCTCATAGACACTCAGCAACCTCATCCATAGCAGGGAGAGAGGAGGCCGGAAGAACAACCCCTGAATACAAAGGACGCCTTTCTTTCCCACTAGGCTCCCAGCCTCCTTCCTGCTACAGAATCATGCAGCAGTGAGGCTCATCAGAAAGACCAGGAAGGCAGGCTGCAAATGACCCAGAAGAGGGACCTGGGGGTCCTGGTGGGGAATAGAGGGAGTCTCAATATTCCTTTGCAGTGCAAGGTACTCCGGGTCCCCTCTGTGGTGCCTCTGCCAGACACCCTCTGCCTGAGTTGAAGGGACACAGGCCACACATTTCAGGCTGGTTGCTGGGGAACCTCAGCACTTGCAGCCTGCAGGGACCCAGCACAGCTCTGGATTCTGGATCCCTCCTGCTGTAACTCCATGCACAGACCCGCCACCCCCAGAGCTCCTTGGCAGACTCCCAGGCCTCCCAGTGCAGTCACAGGAGCTAAGCTAAGGCCAGAGCTGGGCTGTGCACCTGCCTCCCACCGACCCAGACCCTGAAGGGACGGCCCCAGCCCACTCCCGCCGGAGAGGCCTCTCTCTGCCTGAGCTCTTTCCCTTGCTAGCGTGCAGATATCGCCCTAACATGCCCTCTTTTGTACTTGTTTGGACAGATCATAAACATAACTGTAGCTTTAAGACTACAAAGGTTACTGTGTTTGGTCAACATAAAGCGTCTTCCAGAACTTCTCTCTTCGACCCAAGAATGGCAAAGCAGTGGCGCCGTGGCAGAGGCAGCCTCTCAGGCTCTCTTGCTGGGACGCTGGCAGCTCACAGTGAGTCGGCCCAGATTCTGAAGTTCTGCACTGCGGGCTCGGAGGGCCGAGCGGGTGCCCTCATTCCTCACTGTAGCTGCCACCCTGCCCCGTCCTTACGGCAATACACTTGTAGCACATTTGAATTTCCAAAGCACTTCCAGCATCTTCGGAATTTCCCCAACCAGCCCTTGGTTGGGGCAGTGGCCCTGTGCAAACCTTGGCTCAGGAAGGAGATTAGACTTGTGCCACACACGCTGTCAGCGACGCTGCTGGTCAGCACAAGCCCTGGTGCTGTCCCTCGGCCCCTGCCCTGCACTGTCTGCCCCCTCAGCCTTTCATTTAGACAACCTGCTGAATGCCAGGCACTGCCCAGCCCCGAGGACAGCAGGCCAGACACCAGGCACCAGGCCATGTGCCTCTCTCATGGGCAGCGCACGGACAAGAGCTCAGCCGTGTCAAGGAGGCATCTCGGAGGAGCTGCGGGAGGGAACAGAGTCGGACAGAGAGGGTGTGGTGGGGATGCAAGGCTGGGGCCTCTGCGGGGCAGCACTGCCTCCACTGACACCGGGGACACATGCACGGGCAGCCTTGGTGGTCCGTGGAGGAGAATCCCAAACTGCTCAGGCCCCATTGCGTTTGGGATGCCTGGTGGACACCACATGGAGGTGGCACGTAGGCATCTGGGGACAGCAATACAGAGGCCGAGGCGGACTCCAGGATTGTCCAGACATGCCTGCCACTTAGGGCTCTGGGACTCTGTCTGCAAGGGCAGCCATGAGGGATGGGCACGGAGCCCCAGATGACCCCCCATGGAGAGACAGAGAGGAAGGACCCCTTCATGGAGAGACAAGGAGGAAGGACCCCCCATGGAAAGACAGAGAGGAAGGTGGCTCAGAGGAGGAGAGTGGGCATGTGCAGCTGCAGGGGTGGGCAGAACCACAGGAACACAGGGTCCTGGGTGCCAGAGGGGGGCGTTTCTGCACCTCAGCAGCGGTGGTGAGGGCTGCTGAGGGGTCAAGAGGAGGTGTGGGTCCCTGGGCAGATGAGGCCCGGGTGGCGCACTGGAGGGCGGCAGATGTGCTGGGAGGAGCTGGGGAGGAAGGCCAAGCAGTGTTTTGAACCCAGCTCCTCAACCGGCCCTTCAGAAACAAAGAGAGTGTGGAGTGGAGAAGGGGGCCCTGGAGAAATCGCGGGATGGATGGGGCTCACAGACAGACGTGGGGCTGTAGGACATCCCAGAGCGGGGCCCAGGGAGGCGGGAGACAAGGCCACCTGCTACAGGGACAGTGCTCGGGGAGGGAGGACAAGAAAGCAAGGCTTTGCAGAAGGTAGGAACTTCCGGAGGACGCATGAGGTCTGTGGCCCTGAACTTGGAGTAAATGTGGGCATTTCCCTCCGGCCACACTGAGCTGCGCAGGTACAGGCAGGGGAAGGGGGACAGGTGGGGTCAGCAGGTGGGGTGGCCCGGGGTTGGGAGAGTGTGGACATTTCTCTTGGCTCCCAAGAGGCCTCCAGGAGCACGCTGAGCCTGGGGCCCTGTAAACTGGGGGCTGGACTAACCGCCCTGAGGTGACGAGGAGGGTGACGTGGAGGGTGGGCAGCCACGTCAGTGCAGGCTGCAGAACCAGGACCCTGCCGGGCCCTCAGCCAGTGGGCAGCACAGGGGAGGGGCTGGCAGGTGCACTGGGAAGGGCTGTGGCCCCTCCTCTCCGGCCTGACGCGGCCACCTCACCTGCCAGCGTTCTTCACGAAGCCCAGGTCAGCCAGCTCCACGTCACACAGCTCGCAGCGGAAGCAGCCCGGGTGCCAGTTATTGTTCATGGCCTTGATGACGCGGCCAATGATGAACTCGCCTGGAAGAGGACAGGTCCCTGCTAGGCAGGGGGCGTGTGCCCGTCCCCTCTTCGGGCCCTCCCAAGCCCTGTCCACCTAGCACTCCACCTGCTCTCTGCCTGGCCCATGGGCTCCCTCATGGGATGGTGATGCCTGGGGCCCGAGGTCTGCTGCTTAGAGAGGCAGAGTGGGTGATTAGGAAAGAGCTGGGCCAGTTCTGTGTGCCCCCTCCTGCACCCCCTGCCTGCTGCCCACTTCCCAGGCAGCACAGGGTGTGTGCTGTCACCCGCCTTACCACAAGATCCGCAGCACGGAGCAAACAGCATTTGGAAGTCGTGTTCGCAGTACTTCCGGCCTTCAAACTGCAAAGGGGCCGCAGAGAGAGGACAAGCAAACCACCCGTCATCCCCATAAGCTGCCCAGGCCCTTGTTGGGTCAGGACCTGACAGCAGGGGACGGGGCACTGAGACAGGGCATGCCCGGCTGAGGCTGGAGCAGCGGGTCCCAGGCCTGGCCAGCAGAGGACACTGGTCCATTTGGGATGGCGGGTTGCAAAGGGAGGGTCCCCCATGGAAGCTGGAGAGGTCGGCGATGCCATCTGTCAAGGGACTGCTGGTGTCTACTGAGGATCTGGGCCCTATTAGTCCTGAGAACAGGCAGGGGTGGAGGGGGGTTTAAGCCAGGAGGGATGAGATCAAGTTTGAAGTGTAGTGTCACTCGGCCTTATTTCCTGTACCTTCTCTGTGGGAGAAGTCCAGCTCCCCCAGCAGCCAGGAAGACCCGGGGACAGGACACAGAAGAAAGGGAACACAGGAAGGGCCCAGGCATCGGGGGGTGGGAGGGGGCAGGGGGGCGGGAAGGGCCCAGGCATGGTGGGTGGGGGGAGCACAGGGCTACAGCCAGCAGGAGTCAGCGTGCGCACCCTCCTGGCATCGAGGGCCCCTGTGCTGGCCACAAACGGGGTTAAAGCCTGCCTCTGCTTTCCTCTCTTTTAACAATTTTATTTCCTATGTTTTAATTCGGTTTTTCCCCATTCTCTGAAATGAGTGTCTTATTAGACTGAACTGGATTTAGCCCTACTAAGTGACCTGTAGAGGCAGGAAAGGCTTAAACTCTTTCAGCAATGGAAATCTTCTGGGCACCTACTGTGTGCCAGGCTTTGTTGTGTGCACATGGCCCCCCTCCCAGAGGTTTGTCCACCCCTCCTGCTGCCTCTACGCTTGGCCAGCACCTCTCAGGAGGCTGAAGGCACCATGAGGAACGGTGGCTCCTGCTCTGCCAGGCAGACCACGCGCCCACATCCATGCACCAGCCAATCCCATCAGCTCTACCTCGAAACAGAGCCGCATCTCACCCCTGGTCACCACCGTCACCACAACCACCAGTGGCATGCTGGTAAATGGAACAGCCAGCTCCCTGGGGGACAGAGGCAGGCCCTGCTGTGCGGCGTTTGCCAATGTCCATGGTGTGAATATATCTGTCATGGCCAACTTCCGGCTGCCAATACGACATGGACCTGGACTTGAGGGGGAGCTGTGCAAAAGGACAGAAGTAACCCCAGCAGCATAGACAATAGTAAAATGTAACAAAATAATTAGCAAGTGGTATGCTTTGAGTATCTGTTACCTCTGTTCTTAATAAAATGTTAGCCCACTGTACATTTATATAATTTAATTTTTAGCCACAGCTGTGCTGCACAACCAGCCTGCAAGGTTGTTGATGGTTTAACGACTGCTCTTGTGAGCTGGTGGGAGTCCTTCGCTTTCATCTGGGCAACTGCACTAATTCAGCTCCTGGTCCCCGCGGCCTCACAGCCTCTGTTCCTGCCCCGCCTCACGCTGTCTCCTCAGCACAGCAGCCAGAGGGATCCTTTTACTTTTTAGACGGAGTCTTGCTCTGTTGCCCAGGCTGGAGTGCTGTGGTGCGATCTTGGCTCACTGCAACCCCCACCTCCCAGATTCAAGTGATTCTCCTGCCTCAGCCTCCTGAGTAGCTGGGATCACAGGCGCCCACCACCACGCGAGGCTCATTTTTTGTGTTCTTAGTACAGATGGGGTTTCGCCATGTTGGCCAGGCTGGCCTCAAACTCCTGACCTCAGGTGATCCACCCGCCTCTGCCTCCCAAAGTGCTGGGAATACAGGCGTGAGCCACCGCGCCCGGCCAGGACACCTTTTCAAATGTCAGCAGACGGTGTGTCTCCTCTGCCCCACACCCTGAGGAGGCTCCTGTCTCTCGAAAAGCAGAAGCCTAAGGCTCTGTAGAGGCCCATGGGGCCAAATGAGATCCATCTCCCCGTCCTCAGCTCCTGGCCCTCTCCCTCTCATGCCCTCAGCTTCCATCACACCAGCCTCCCTGCTGCTCTCCACACAACCCCATGTTCTCCCACCACAGGGCCTTTGCATGTGCTGTGCCCTCTGCCCAGTGCTCTTCCTGCAGAGATGTACGTGGCTCTCTCCCCTCAGGTCCGCCCAAACTTCACCTTCCCTGAGCACCACTGCACCCCACCCTGTGAGCCCTGAGCACCAGGGCATCGGCATCGGCTGGTGGGCCCTGGGGTTGCTGTGCTCACTGTCTGGTTCCCATGGAGGCCAAGCAACACCAGGGCAGACTCTTCCTGCCCCCAGGGACTGCCCAGCGTCTGCCCAGAGCAGGCTGGGAAAGGTGGCTGTCTGTTAGCGCCCAGGGTACCCGGGGTGCTGTTCACCTCTCACAGGTGAAGGATGGGCCTGTGCAGAAGCTCGAGCCTGGTTCTGGGCTGGCTCCAGGCCTGGCCCGCCAGCAGTCGGGACCACTGCATGGAGCCCGGGTCTGAGGGCAGACTCTGAGCTGGTCTAAGAAGGCCACCAGGAGCGTCCTCACCTCGTAGAAGAGCCCCTCGGGGAAGGGCCGGAAGCACTGGGCGCACACGAAGCAGTGCTCATGGTACAGCTCCCCGTTGCTGTTGACGATGCGCTCGGCGGGGGTGAAGCGGGCCTGGCAGCGCTGGCACACGGCGTTGGCCAAGGCGTCCGACATGTTGCTGGAGGCGGGGGACAGGAGGGGTGAGTCAGAGCTGGGCAGGGGCACAGGAGGGGCACACAGAGGCCTGCGCCCAACAGACACATCCAGGATTAAAAATCAGGAAAAATCACTCTAAGCCAAGGTCCAGGCCGCTCGGTGCTTGTAATGCCCACCCCTTGGGGTGTCAGGGGCCAAGTCAACTCCCACCTGGGCCCTATCACCCCTTCCTCAGGAACCGGAGAGTCTCGGCACAGAACACCACCCAGCGCGTGTGAGCGGCTCTGTATTTGCACTCTTATTTCATCCCCAAGGCAACTCGGCAGCTACTATTAATGTGGCCTCTTCCAGAGAAGGGACCTGAGCCTCAGAGAGGTTGAGTAACTGGCCCAAGCTCACACAGCAGAGCAGCCTCCATACTTGAACCCAGACTGCTCCGTCTTCCACGGTCCCATCCTCTGCACCATGAGTTAGTTTCACACTGACTGCCTCCAATAAACACATAACCACCCAACCACGGAGAAGGCAAGAGGGTGGTCAGGTGCAGTGGCTCAAGTCTGTCACCCAGAGCACTGTGGGAGGCCAAGGTGGGAGGATCCCCTGAGCCCAGGAGTTTGAGGCCAGCCTGGGCAATATGGCAAGAGCCCATCTCTAAGAAAAAGACCCCCCCAAAAAAAAAATTAGCCGGGTGTGGTGATGCAAGCCTGTAGTCCCTGCTACTTGGGAGGCTGAGGCGGGAGGATGACTTGAGCCTAGGAGGCCAAGGCTGCAGTGAGCTGTGCCCATGCCACCGCACTCCAGCCTGGGCTACAGAGTGAGACCCTGTCTCAAGAAAAACAAAGGCAAGAGTGTGAATCTTTGAGACGAGACGGTGAGGGGAGCAGATCTCATCCGTGCTGGGCACTGTCTGTCCCCTGAGTCAGTGCTGGGTTTCCTTCTGGGAGGGGTGAAATGCAAACTACAAGGGAAAAGCCCAGAGTGAGCCAAGCCCACAGTCAGTCCAGTCCCAGGGCCCTCCGGCACGGCCAGGAGGGGCCTTTTAGGCTCAAAAACAGGGTTAGGATGTAGCCCTAGACACCCCAACTGCCTTACGACCTTCAGAGAACCAGATACCCCACAACTTTGACTAGAAAGAGAGAACACAGGTTCTGTCTCAAGCCTCAACTCCAGCGGATCGGTTGTGGCGGCCTGGAGGGGCGGGCAGAGAGGGAGCATCAGGCTCGCTGGGGAGTGATGCCACCAGCTGGTAACATCTGCCTGGGTACAGCCGGGCGTGGCAGGACTGGAGCCTTGTGCCTTTGGGAATACCTCTCCGCCTGCTCTGCCTCCCAGGATGAATCCCACCCAGCAGTCACTCACTGCTGTGGCACCACGAGGGGAATGCTTGGTGAGTGAGGCTCCTGTCGGGCTGTTCTGCGGCCTGCGATCTGGGCAGGGCCGGCCCGAAGACTGCCAACCACAGGGAAGCGGGGCCTTAGACAGGACGGGCCCAGGGCTGGAGGCCAGGGCTGCGCTCAGGGTCTGGCCATGGGCTGTGGACGGAAGGTCCCACAGGAGCCTGCTGTCACATGGAGATGGACTGGAAATCAGGAAAGGGCACCCTGCTGATGTCCTTTCTTCTCTGCTTATGGACTCACATGGCAGAGGCTGGCTGGAAGGCCATTCAGCGACACTTTCTGGGCATGCTGGACTTCCGTCCACCTTGGCCTGCCCTCTGGTGTGCTTAGGAGACCAAAGCCCCCACCTGAGCCCACATCTGGGCCAGAGGAGCAAGGTGGCAACAGGGGTTGGAAAGAACCCAAAAAGAAAGGACGTCTCGGCACCCAGCGGCCGGTCCTCAGTCCTCTCAGCTCTCTGCTGGTCTCCACGGGGCGGGCCAGGCAGGCCACCAGGGCAGAGGCTGGCCACCCCAAGCCACCCTAAGGGTTGGGCTGGGCTTCCCTAGAACAGGCTTGGTTTCCTTCCTGGAGAACGCTGTGAACCTCCTCTTCTGAAACACACACCCAAGGTGGCAGGGAGGACGTTCCAGTGCCTGACCATGAGCGAGACCTTGGAAGTCTTAGAGAAGTCAGGAATCAACAGGAAATCCCATGACTCTAGGCCCGGAATTCCTCACTCCAAGGACCCAGAAAATGAAGCCAAATAAGGACTTCCACCTAGCCCCAGCCTTTCAGATTGCTCCTTAAAGCCAGACCTCTAAGCCCCAGTGAGTGACAACACATCCCTCTCACCCGCTGCAGGCTCCTGTTCTCTGCCCCAGGGGCTGCTGTTTAGGGCCGGCACCCACAGGCCGGTCCCCTCTGGCTTCCAGGTAGGCTGACCCTACTTCCACTGGCCAGGTGCTGCTGGGCTCCGTGCCCTATGTTGTGGTGACCGGCACTCCTGCGCCGCTAGCCCAGGCGCTTCACCACCCTTCCTCCCTCCCCACTTCACAAACAACCCTCAGTTAGCACTCCCCAGTTGCCATGCTTCCCACCAGGGAAGAGCCTGGCCATACCCTCACTCCTCTGCCTTCCCATTCATCTTCCAGTTGCACGTAAAGGGCCCCTAACCAGTTCCCTGGCTGGTCCCCAGACGCCTCCAGTGAGAACATTGCCACCTGTGCCCAACAAGCCTTGCACAAACCCTGGCACAGGCAGGTGGGTGTGGGGGTGACCACCTCCCTCCTGCACCCAGGGGCTGCCCCAGCCCAAGTCACAAGCATCAGAGCCCCTAACAGCAGCTCTGTGAGAGGCCCCACGATGCCCCATGGGGGAGAAAAGGAGCATTCCAGCCCACTGGCAAAGACAGGACAGACGGGAGCAGGCAGAAACAACGGAGCCTCAGCACCATGAGAGAACTGCTTGCTGGCTCCCGCCGGGCAGGAAGAGAGGCAGTGGGACACTGCAAGCCCGGCAGAGGCCTGGGCCCACCCACCCAGCTCTACACCTGATAGCCCCAGCCTCCGCCTTGGGACCTGGAGAAGGTGCTCGCCTCTCAGGGCCTCACTTCCTCTTCTGTAAAGAGGTGCACCGGAGAAACAGTAGCCACCTCATGAGCCAAAGTGAAGAATGAATGGCACCCACATGTCCAGCACAGAGCACCAGGCCAGCCAGGCAAAGCACTGGATAAAGGGAGCTATTGTTTTCCAGCAATTCTGGGAGCCTTCCGCAGTCCCTCTGCATGGCTCAGCCCAGGGGAAGGCCTGCAGGCTGCCTGCACTCCCTGCGAGAGGGCAAAGGGCCAGAGACACGGACATTCCATGTCCTCCTTTGCACATTCCTTCAAGAACAGGGAACACAGAGTCCGCCCGGTTATCCCTCAGGAGACACCACTACCCGCCTCCAGCCGGACTGCGCAGACAGACACACTGCCCAGGGCACGCCCAGGCCGGAAGCCAAACCCCAGACCTGGGATCGAGCATGCCATCTCACGCCCTTCCCCAGCCTCCCCAGCACCTCGCAATGCGCTCGGTCTTGACAGCCAACACAAGCCAATTTGTTGCAAGATGACCCTGAGCCTGGGGTGGTGGGATCAGAGGAGCCTGCTCTGTTTCAAGCCTTTGTAAGAGGAGGAGGCTGGTTCCAGATAAGGAGACTGAAGCACAGAGAGGGTCGGTAACCAGCTAAGGGTCACACAGGATTGGACTCATGCTCCCCCCAATTCCCTCCTGGCATCCCCCATTCCAGATTATGTTTCTTCAACAACACCAGCCCTTCTTCCATCCCAGCCTCCCCGACACCTGAGTCTACGAAGAGAGCGTAAGGACCTGGGAAGAGCCAGGGGCCAGCCACAAGGGGTCTGATCACACCCAAGAGGAGCTGGTGTTGCTGAGGCCCCATCAGCCTGAGCGGCAGTCAGGCCAAGGGTGTGTGCCCTGTAGCCAGGCACAGCAGGCTGCGA